TCAGGACCACGCCGATGACACTCCCACATTCCATTTCCCACGTGTGTTCCTCTCGCTCTCACCCTCCCCCCCCCCCCCCCCCCCAGACTATTTCTGAGGGATTTTATCTGCTCGTGGAGCCGGGCAGGCTGTTTCCGTCCTCAGAGGAACAGAGTGTTCGAGATAAGTGGAGCCAGCGTTACGGCATCCACCTCCACGGCCCAGAGCCCTGCCCAGGTGCTGGCTGCGGTGGGAGCCTTGACCTGAGCCAGGCCAGCCTGCTCCCAAGTTCATGGCTCTGTCCTTCTGCCCTCAGAGCCCCTCCTCTCTCGGTGCCAGTCTGGGTCAGGACCGCCCGGGGCGGGGACGGGGCCTCCCAGGACAGCTCCCCCAGCTGGTGATGGCTGGGGCCACCGCCATCCTGTTAGGAATGAAGTGTGCTCAGCGACCTGACCTGCGGGTGAGGCGTGAGGCGGGCGGGCGAGGAAAGCAGGCTGCCGATGGCCACGCCTACCACCCCTCCGTGGAGGTTCCTGGGGCTCCTCTGGGGCTCCAGGGTCTGATTAGGGGTGTCAGTCCCCAATAGCCTTCTCTTCCTTCAAGGGAGCACCTACACGCCGGGTCCTTCTGGCCTGGGCTCCCTACAGGTTTGAACAGACCTCGGTCACTGCCTTCCCCTGGCGCTGTGGGCTTGTCCCTGTCCAGGGGCGGTTGGGAATTCCCGGAGGCCTCCTGGGGTCCCGGGGTGCCTGGCACCAAGCACGGGCCACCTCCGCTTGCTTTGAGCTCCCCACCCCCGACTCCTGTGTCCTCCCCGATTCAGACAGGGCCCTGGCTTAGCAAACTGTATTTCAGACGGAGAGGGTAACTGTGAGGATGGGGGAGCGGTGCGGCAGGGGGACCCGGGGCCCCCAGGGAAGGCCAGCCGCTCACCCCTTCGGCCATCTCCCATTCATTCCGATCAGTGTCGGCTGCTGAACCAGCAGGTGGGGGGCTGGCTCCGTGATGGAGGCGTTCAGCTGCAGTGAGATGGACTTCTTTATTTATATATATTTATTGATTTCAGAGCAGAAGGGAGAGGGAGAGATAGAAACACCATGATGAGAAAGAAGCATTGATTGGCTGCCTCCTGCACGCCCCACACTGGGGATCGAGCCCAAAACCTGGGCAAGTGCTCTGACCAGGAAGCGAACCGCAACCACCTGGTTCATAGGTCGACGCTCAACCCCTGAGCTACGCCAGCCGGGCGAGACGCACCTTTGAACCCTCTTAGTTTGCGCCTATCAACGCAGAAGCCTCGTGTCTCTTTAAAAATGCTCCGAATTCTGGCCTCCCCCCAGGAAATCCGGATCTTTGTGGTGTGAGGTTACGCGGGCCGCGTGGGCCGGCAGCCTGGCCTCCTCCCCAGCGTGAGCCAGCCTCCTGGCTGCACCGAGAGCTCCGAGAAGTGGCTTAGTTCCCACCAAATTAAGGAATCGATTTTAGTGTTTATTAACCTCAGTGAAGGCGGCAGTCACTGCAGGCAAGACACCCTCCTTCTCTGTTGTCTGCTGCTCCTTGTTCCCTTTCCTCCGGGCTCACTTCGTGGCCCCGGCCCCGCCTCACCTCTGTGGCCCCGGTCCCCGCCTCACCTCTGTGGCCCCGGGTCCCCGTGTCCTCAACTCACCTTCGTGGCCCCGGTCCCTGTGCCCTCAACTCACCTTCGTGGCCCCGGTCCCCGTGCCCTCAACTCACCTTCGTGGCCCAGGCCCCTGACTCTCACCTTGTGTCCCTGACACACCTTCTCCCCCTGCCCCCGCAGGCCTGGATCCTTTTTACTAGAGTTTTGTGAAGCGAGCTCTCATCTGCTCTGGGCTTGCATTCCTCCCGTGACAGGGTGCTCACTCCCCAGCGTCAGCACCTCCCGACATTGTGCAATTCTATTGCTTAATCAGTCCTCAGCGATTCTCCCTGGCGCTCCCACTCGCAAACCGCGTTCAGCGCTTTCAGGCCCCGCGGAAGTCTGCTCTGCTCTCCCGCGCAGCCCTGCAGCCTGCCACGGATCCTTGCTGCATTCCACGCGGGTTTCCTGAGCGCCCCTGCCTGCCAGGCAGAAAGGCCCCCGGGGCCTCCGGGGCCTTCGTCCTCCCCTGCGCTCAAAGTGGCCACTTCTCTGCTCACTTGAGCAGAACCTGCAATCTCTTCTCTCGGCGGAAACCGAGGCCGGCTGCGCCCAGTGAAGGCCGGGGCCAGGGCTGCCCCTTTCAAGTTCACTCACCGAGTTGTTTCCGAGGCATCCGTGTCCTCCTTGTACGGAGGAGTAAACTGAGGCTCCCAGGGCTGGCTGTGCAGCCGGAGGCCCGGGTGTGGGATCAGCGCCAGGTCCAGGGCTCACGTCCTTCCACGGCCCCACCGTCCAGCAGGCAGGGGTGCTAGCTCCTCAGAAGCCGTTTCTGGATTCTGCATTGGCTCCGCGCATGGAGAACTGGATGGGGACTCGGCGTGCAAGGGCCCAGGTGTTCATTGTGTTTGTGATATATTAGAACATTTATTCTTTCAAAAATTTATGTTGTTAATCCTCACCCAAGGATATTTTTCCATTGACTTTTAGAAAGAGTGAAACGGAGGGGGAGAGACGGAGGGAGAGAAACATTGATGTGAGAGAGACACATGGGTGGGTTGCCTCCCATACACACCTTGACCAGGGCCGGGGATCGAGCCTGCAACCGAGGTACGTGCCCTTGACCGGAATCGAACCCAGGACCCTCGGTCTGCGGGCCGATGCCCTGTCTACTGAGCTGAGCCGGCCAGGGCCAGGGCCCGGGTGTTTCAAGAGCACCTGGTCCTGTATGTGCGGCCCCATGAGAGCTGGTGGTGCCACCTATGCTTTGCAAACTGAGGTCACCTCCTTCCAGGTCCCCTCTTGACGAGCTCTCGGAGCCTCCTCCGTGAGGCACTGGGTGGGGTGCCGGCAGGTGCGAGACAGGACAACAGTGTCCCAGTGCCCTGGAGGTCACAGACCTGCAGGGCAGAGCCACAGCAGCCTCCTGGAGGCCCAAGGGATCAGCGGGCGGGCCTGCCTGGGTGGGCAGCAGTGGCATGGGAAGGACATTTGCATTGGGCTTTGAAGGGCGTATAGGAGTTTGCCAGGATAGCCACACAATGGACTGATCCTTTTAGTGAGGAGCCAGGATGGGTGTCTAGTCATGACAGCCTCTCTCGGGGACTGGCTGCAACTTGGTCAGTCTGTGGGCGACACCCTGGGAATGGTGGGACGTCGGCCATTCTGGCTTCACTAGTGACCAGCTCACTGCCCAGGCTCGGGGGACTGAGCAGCTGGCTGTGCAGGGGCCCCGGGAGGTTGGACTCGCGCAGCCAGACACGTTTCCAGAGAAGAACGGCCTTTCGCGGGCTTCCCTCCGCTCCGCCCGCCCGGGGTCCGCAGAGGCTGCTAAGTGGGCTCTCATTCGGAGGTGGAGCCCCCGGGGGAGGCGCGGGAACCCGCCTGGAGGGCGCGTGCTCTTCCCGGAACATTGGTCGTGAATATTAGTCGTAAGCGGGTAACTCCCTCAGGAGCTGCCGTGCCTAGAGCGGCAAGAGAACCAGGCGTGGAGGAAGCCTGAGTCCACGGCCCCAGGCCCGGCCCTGCTCGCCCAGCGTGCAGAGAGGGAGAGAGAGACAGGCAGGGCGGGGACAGAGCCGCCGATGGAGACAGACAGACCCGGAGGAGGGGGAGAACGGGGGCGCAAAGCCAGGGCTGTGAGTCACTCGCACCCCTGGCCCTGCTCTCCCCGGGACCCCGGGTTTGGCGTGGGGCCCTGGGGCTGGGGAAGTCAGCTCTGGACCCTGCGCTGTGTTGGGTCCTGCGGAGGGCAGCTCCCCCTCCCGCCTCCCACCCTCACTGGCGTGCGTCCTGCAGCGAGCCCCGGCCCGTGCTGTGGGAGAGAGCGCACGCCATGCTCCCACGCGCGTCCCTGGCAACAGGTTGGACTGATAACCGCTCACCCCCACGTGCTTGCTGTGCCCGCCCCGTCTGTTGACTTGTTTGTACCTTCATTCAGTTGCTCTTCTGCCTGGCAATGACCCCGGGAGACAGGTATGACTGCCTTTTATGCGCGAATTGACACCCAGCAAGGGCAGGTGATTTGCCTAAGGACACCCAGCTGCAGGCCCAGGGTGGGAGCGCCCCTCTCCCTGGTGGGATTCAGGGGTGGCTTCGAGCCGGGTCCCCAAGGACGGGCCGAGGAAGAGCTGGACGCCGGGTGTGGGCGGGGGAGGTGGGGACAGCGGGCGCTCCACTCACCCCGTCCTCTCGGTCCTGCAGCCACACAGAGAGGCAGAGAGGCCGGTCCAGAGGACGAGGTCGGAGCGGGCCCAGGTCTGCCCGGCTCTATAGCCAGTCTGTGCCCGTGGCCACCCCACTGGGGCTGGGCCCGCAGAGAAGAGCACCTGGCGTTGGCGTGAGGTGAGGGGTGGACGACTGGACACCCCTCGCCTTCTCCTAGCGCCTCCCGGGGCCTCAGCCGCCCTGACCACACGCGGGGCTCCCACCTTCACTGCCCCCACCCACAGCCCTTGCGTGGCCTCATCCCTAAAGCTGTCCCACACAGGCTGCTCCTGCTGGGGGCGGCCGGGAGGGACGGACAGGTGTGCTGGGCACACGGGAGGCGGGGCAGTGGGGAGGGGACAGCTGAGAGGAGTGACAACCATGTGACGAAGTCACACGCCGGCCCCCGCCAGGGCCTTGTACCTACATCTTAGATCAGCTGTGGGCAAACTACGGCCCGCGATGAATAAAACTAAAAAAAAAAAAGACCGTACCCTTTTATGTAATGATGTTTACTTTGAATTTATATTAGTTCACACAAGCACTCCATCCATGCTTTTGTTCCGGCCCTCCGGTCCAGTTTAAGAACCCATTGTGGCCCTCGAGTCAAAAAGTTTGCCCACCCCTGTCTTAGATCTTGTTTCTTCTCCTCCATGCATTTTTCTTATAATCTTGTGTTTCCTCTCTCTCTCTCTCTCTCTCTCTCTCTCTCTTTTTTTATCACCAGCATTTAGAAAACCAGACCTAGGGAAAGAACTAGGTCTGGGGACACATGCATGGTCTTAATATAGCATTTTCTCTTTTTTTTAAAAAAAAAAAATGTTTGCATTGATGTCAGAGAGGAAGGGAGAGGGAGAGAGAGAAACATCCATGATGAGAGAGAATCATGGATTGGCTGCCTCCTGCACGCCCCGCACGGGATGGAGCCCACAGCCCGGGCCTGTGCCCTGACCGGGAACTGAACCGTGACCTCCTGGTTCCTAGGTCGACGCTCAGCCCCTGAGCCCCGCCGGCGGGCTCCTTCCTTCCTCCTCCTCACGGTGTGAGTGTGATGTGAGCCCTTCTGTGGAGGATACCGACCCGCCGGGCGGGTGGGGCGCGGCCGCAGGGACCTGCGGGAGAAGGAAGTGTCCGGCTTTAGTTTCTGGCTGCGGAGGCCTTGGCCGCCATGACTGGTCCCTGACTGAGCGGAGGACGTGCAGTGTCGCGTTGCCAGGAGAGCGGGGCCACCTGCTCTGTGCACAGAACTGCGAGGAGCGCGCGGGAGCAGGGCAGCGCAGCCGCCTGAAGAGCCCCCTGTGTCCCCGTCACGCGCCTGCTTTCCTCGTGGGCCCTGCGGCCGCGGCCACGGCCTGGCTGCGAGGCGCCTGTGCGCCCAGGCCGCGCTCCCGCCGGTCCTGCCTTCACGCGGCAGCGGGGTCACGGAGCCGCACGGGCGCTCTCCTGCCGCCCCGGGGAGCCCTGAGCCACACGGGGAGCGGGGCACCTCCCGCTGGCCCTCCCCAGGCGGCCCTCCCGGCGAGAGCAGAGCAGAGGAAGGAAGCCACGTGCCCAGCTCACAGCTGCCTGGCCCACGGCTGGTGGCCTCGCGCTCCAAACCCCAGGAGCCGCAGCCCGCACTTCCCTTCCTGCCCGCGGGCGCCCGTCAGCCCAGCTCCTCGAGTCCTGGGACCCCAGCGGCAGGCGGCGAACTGATGATTTACGGACGCGTTAGTGCACATGGGGCACCCCTTCCCGCAGCTTGGGGGACCCTGAATTTGCGTTGTACCCCCTTCCTCGCACCCCTGGCTGACCTGTGGCTGGGCAGTGCCATCACTCCCTCTTCATTTGCCCGTTCATTTCATCCTCAGGCTGACGCGCCCCCAGAGTTCGGGTTGGGGTGCTGGGCAGGAACGAGGCTCCGGGTCCCGGGGGCAGGCAGGGCCTTGCAGAGCGCGTGGCTGGAGGGGGACCCCTACACCCCCAACCCCACGGGATGGAGGGTGATGGGTGGCGTCCCTGGAAGGGGCTGCGCTGAGGTGCTGGGTGGACGGGTTTCGGGTGCAGAGCCTCGTCTGGGACACTGGTCGTTGGCTCCCAGGACTTGGGGCCGGGCCGAGGGCGGAGGGGATCGGCCGCCCCCCTCACGGGAGACTTCTGCACAGGGTCCCTGCGTGTCCGCCGTGAGGCTGAGAGACGGAAGCAAAACCCAACAACTCGGACCCTTTCAGACTCTCCTTTGGAGCACAAATTCCTGTGACAGAACAGTGGCCGCCTTCCTAATGTGAGGGCCCAGCCCCGTGCACATTCCAGAAGGTTCCTGGGGGTCTTCTCCCTCCTTCCCCCCTCCCTCCCTCCCTCCTTTCCTCCCTTCTTTTCTTCCTTCCTTTCCAGCCTTGCATTTTTAAAAATATATTTTTATTGATTTAGAGGAAGGGAGAGGGAGAAAGAACATCAATGATGAGAGGGAATCACTGATTGGCTGCCTCCTGCACGCCCCCCACTGGGGATGGAGCCTGCAACCTGGGCCTGTGCCCCGACCAGGCATTAAACCGTGACCTCCTGGTTCATAGGTCGACGCTCAGCCGCTGAGCCACGCCGGCTGGGCAACTGTCTTAGATGCACTTTTCATTTCAGCTGGTCTCTCCATGAGCCGGCCGGGGTGCAGGGGAGCGAGTGGGCAGCTGTGGGCGGGCACGCGGTTCCCACAACCCTCGGTCAGGGCGGGGGGACCCCCGGAGCACGGTCGCATCTCTCAGGTGGGAATGTCTCCCTAATTGCCTTCAAGTGATTGGCAGGGAGAACGCCCAGCAAAGGATCTGGCCTCTCGGCGGTGGTGTGAGCCCCGTCACGTCCGGGGGCTGAGATGATGGGTCGAGTCACCAGCCTTCGCAAACAGTCTCCTCAGCTCTGTCCATCATGCTAACGTCATGCCAAGCCCCCTCGTGTTGTACCCTCTACGCTGTCACCCCGAAGGCTGGCGTTTCTCTTACGGCGACTTCCCTTTGATAGCAGCCTTCCCCCTTTACGGCTCTGAGAGCTGGCCACGTGCTTTCCTCTACATGAACTCATTGATTCTCACAAGAACCCCAGGAACGGGGCGTCCTCTCTTGTAACGAGTGCCGGAGTCCAACCCCAGCAGGTCCAGGGGTCCCCAAAGGTGTGGATGGAGTTGGCGAAGAAGGAATGACACAGAGACAGCGTTCAGTTGATCAGCAGCCCAGTCAGTTTCTCTAGCCAGGATCTCCAGCCAAGTTCTGGTCTGGATCTCCAGCGAAGTTCTGCTTAGGATCTCCAGCCAGGTTCTGTGTCCATGTTCTCTTGCTAGGTTCTCCAGCCAGGTTCTGTCCAGGTTCTCCAGCCAGGTTCAGTCACCAGGTTCTAGTCAGGTTCTCTTGCCCATTTCTGTAGTCAAGTTCAGTCCAGGATCTTTTGCCATGTTCTCTCCAGCGAAGTTCTTCTGTCTCTAGTTCTGTGTAGGTTCGGTCTTCTTAGTTCTGTCTTCTAAGCTCTGTATTCTAAGTTCTGTGTTCTAAGTTCTGTGTCTTGCTGTCTTGTTGCATCTGTATTTATACCAGTTGATTCAATCCTATCAATCTCTATTACAAAGGTTAGGGCGTTTCTTATCTCCATTCCAGGGAGTAAAGATTATGTAGCTTAAGCATGATTGTTCGTAGTTAAAGTGATTAATTACCCACCTGGCACTAGTTAAGAGGTTTTATTCCCTCCCTAACTTCAGGGGAAAATCCCTACCTGGGGAAACAACCTTTCTCAGAGACTTTGGTTAAAACACATAGTGCCAAGAAGGTGAGCAAAAATATTAAGAACAGTATGCCATATATGCCAGGTCCCTTGAAACAGCAAGCATGGACCGGCTCCCGGCAAACGAGGACATTGAGGCTCAGAGAGGCGAAGGCATGTGCTCCAGGGCACCCCACTGGTCGGTGGCAGGTCAGGGCCTCTGCTGCCACTGGCTGGGTTGAGCACTGGCTGGGTGCCGCCCGGGGAGAAGCGCAGGCTGGCACCCATGCCGGGTAGCCTGGGAGGGAGGTGGCCGCCACGGATTGGGAGGACCAGGCAGGGGAGGAGCCGTGGCAGGTGGCTGGGCGGGCACTGGGGCATCAGGTGGGGCTAGCACCTGGGGGCGGGGAGTGTGACAACAGGCAGGGCTTCGAGTGCCCCGGGCCCTGCTCCCCAGAGGGGCCGACCGGGGTCCTCGGGGTTCACTTCCGCGGGGGGACGCTGGGAGTGCAGCACCAGCACCCAGTGCGGGGGGGGGGGGGCCGGGAGGGGGTGCTACTGTGCCTTCCGTCTCCTCACCGAGCGAGCCTGCGCTTCTGCAGGAAGGAAAGGTGAGCCGTGGGGATGGAGGCGGCCAGGCCTCACCATGTTCTCTTGTGACGCTGTGCCCGTGGCAGCCTGGCCAGGGACATGCCCGCCGGCGCTTATCTGCACCTGCGGGATCCCCTTTCCGCCGCTGGAGGCTGCGGCGCTGGGGCCCGGCTGTCCTCGGCCCTCTCCCCCTCCCCTTTCCTTCCTGCGCAGCTGGGACTCTGTTGTGCACATGTGTACATGCATGTGTGTGCGCGTGCACATGTGCATGTGTGTACACGGATGCCCTCACGTGTATGGACACACATGTTTACACGCACATTTGTGTGCCGCTGTGCACGTGTGTACATGGATGCCCTTGTGTTTATGTATGTGTGTGCACATGTGTCTGTGTGCTCACATGCATTTATGTCAGGGTACGTCGTGTGCACATGTGTGTTTGTGCATGTGCCCACAGGTGCGCATGCACTAGACTAGAGCTCTCCCCTCCGTGCCCAGGGCTCAGCGCAGGCCTGGCATTTAGCCAAGCGGTCAGTGGCGCGTTGGAGACGCCTGTGGGCTCCCTGGGGCCTCTGACCCCCCAGGCGCCGTGAGCGTTCCTCCCTCGAGCTCGGCGGCCCTCGCCCTTCCCCAGCCTCACACCTCCCGGGTCCGGTCAGTGTTGCTCCTCGCTGCCTCCCTGGACCTTGTCCTCGGCCCTGCCCGGCCGTGGCGTCCTCACCTGCGGGGCTGGCCTCAGCCCCACGCCGGGCACAGGGCTCAGGGTCAGCGGGTGTGATGGGTTTGAATGATGATGTGTTTACTGAGCGTCTCGCCGCCTGCACCCGTGGCTCCAAATGACATTTCAGGAATCGCATTACAGCGTTCTGTGCTCGCAGAATTCAGAAATAGGTAATTCGATTATATCTGCTGGAAGCCATTGCCACAACTGGCCTCATTTTTTAGCCGGCATCTGTCCCGCGTGGGGAGAGGCGGCCGAGCAAAGTCTAAGGACTGGATTCTCCCCAGAGCACGTCCCGAGCTGGCGCCAGCGGCTCTTCCCTGGACGGCGAAGCCCGAGGACAGGACGGAGGCTGCCCGCCCGCCAGCCTCTTACTCGAGGGCGCACTGCGGTCCTGGCTGCCTGCTGCAGGGGGCTCTTCCCCTGGGCTCCTGGGGCCAGGAAGGGGCAGCCACAGAACTCCATGCCGACTCCGAGCCCAGCCTTCCCGTCGGGTTATTTCCTCGGGCTCCCGCTTTGCGGCCTCAGCAGCCCCATGCCAGCTGCTCTTTCCTCTCCCCAGGGGACATTGTCTCTGGGTTTGGGGGCCACACAGTTTCCGGAGAATCACGGCCTCAGGATGCCTCTCAGCCCTGAGGGCCCTGCCTTCCTGCTCCCCAGTCCCTGAGGCCGAGGGGGGTCCGGGTGAGGGGGGCTGCTTGCCCTGTGCATCCAGTGCTTCTGCTTAGAGCGGCCCTGGGGTATGGGGGGCGCTGTCTGCTGCTGCGGGAAGCGGGAGCTGTGCTCCCCCAGCACCG